AAAAAAAAGGAAAGAAAGAGTATTCAATTAGGAAAAGAGAAAGTCAAACGGTCTCTGTTTGCAGACCCCATCGTCTCAGCCCAAAATATCCTTAAGCTGATAAGCAACTTCAGCAAAGTCTCAGGATTCAAAATTAATGTGCAAAAATCAGAGGCATTCCTATACACCAATAACAGATAGAGAGTCAAATCATGAGTGAACTCCCATTCACAGCTGCTACAAAGAGAATAAAATATCTGAAGTACAACTAACAAGGGATGTGAAGGACCTCTTCAAGGAGAACTACAAACTACTGCTCAAGGAAATAAGAGAGGACACAAACACACAGAAAAATATTCAATACTCATGGTTAGGAAGAATCAATATTGTGAAAATGGCCATACTGCCCAAAGTAATTTATAGATTCCATGCTATCCCCATCAAGCTACCACTACTTTCTTCATAGAATTGGAAAAAACCACCTTAAACTTCATATGGAACCAAAAAAGAGCCCACATAGCCAAGCCAATCCTAAGCAAAAAACAAAACAAACAAACAAACAAAAAACACAAAGCTGGAGGCATCACACCACCTGACTTCAAATTATATTACAAGCCTACAGTAATCAAAACTGCATGGTACTAGTACCAAAACAGAGATATAAACCAATGCAACAGAACAGAGGCTTCAGAAACAATGCCACACATCTACAACTATCTGATCTTTGACAAATCTGACAAAAACAAGCAATGGGGAAAGGATTTCCTACTTGATAAATGGTGTTGGGAAAACGGGCTAGCCATATGCAGACATCTAAAACTGGATCCCTTCCTTACACCTTCTACAAAAATTAACTCCAGATGGATTAAAGATTTAAACGTAAGACCTAACACCATAAAAACCCTAGAAGAAAACCTAGGCGATACCATTTAGGACATACGCATGGGCAAGGACTTCATGACTAAAACACCAAAAGCAATTGAAACAAAAGCCAAAATAGACAAATGGGATCTAATTAAACTTAAGAGCTTGTGCATAGCAAAAGAAACTATCATTAGAGCGAACCGGCAACCAACAGAATGGAAAAAAAATTTTGCAATCTACCCATTTGACAATGGGCTAAATATCCAGAATCTACAAAGAACTTAAATAAATTTATAAGAAAAAAAACAACCCCATCAAAAAGTGAGCAAAGGCTATGAACAGACACTTCTCAAAAGAAGACATCTATGCAGCCAACAAACATATGAAAAAGAGCTCATCATCACTGATCATTAGAGAAATGCAAATCAAAACCACATCGAGATACTATCTCATGCCAGTTAGAATGGTGATCATTAAAAAATCAGGAGACAACAGATGCTGGCGAGGATGTAGAGAAACAGGAACACTTTACACTGTTGGTGGGGGTGTAAATTAGTTCAACCATTGTGGAAGACAGTATGGTGATTTTTCAAGGATCTAGAAATACAAATACCATTTGATCCAGCAATCCTATTACTGAGTATATATCCAAAGGATTATAAATCATCCTATTAAAAGACACATGCAAATGTGTGTTTACTGTGGCACTGTACACAATAGCAAAGACTTGGAACCAACCCAAATGCCCATCAATGATAGACTGGATAAAGAAAATGTGGCACATATACACCATGGAATACTATTTGGCCATAAAAAGGATGAGTTCATGTCCTTTGCAGGGACATGGATGAAGCTGGAAACCATCATTCTCAGCGTTAACTGACACAAGAACAGAAAACCGAACACTGAATGTTCTCACTCATAAATGGGAGTTGAACAATGAGAACACATGGACACAGGGAGGGGAACATCACACACCAAGGCCTGCCAGGGGGCTGGAGGCTAGGGGAGGGAGAGCAAGGGGCAAGGGTATTGGGGAGGAATCGTATTAGGAGAAATACCTAATGCAGATGACAGGGTGATAGATGCAGCAAATCACCATGGAACATGTATACCTATGTAACAAACCTGCACATTGTGCACATGTATCCCAGAACTTAAAGTATAATTTAAAAAAATTTTTTTAAATATTAAAAAGAAAAGAAGAGTGAAAGATAAAATCTGAGATCAAAAAAGCATTTTCAGGATGATCTGATTTTGTCTTCTATGAGTACTCTCTCCTAGGCCTGGTATTTTTTCTACCTTTCCTACTCGTCCTTTCAGTCATTTTTACTGAATCATCTTTCTCTGCCTTCTCCTTAACTGTTATTGTTCAATGTGCTATACTTTGCTGACTCATCTTACTCTACTGTATTGACTTAATTTCATATATTCCCTCAACGTTAATATTACTTATGTACTGACAATGCCAATAATTTTATTTCCAGCATCGAATTTTCTAGTCAGGTACATAATTGCTTTGCTGGTGGTCTCCACCTGGATATTACTTTATGCAACAAACTGAAAACTGAAACTCACTGCTCCAACAATCCTCTCTTTCCTGTATTCCTTACCTTGGTTGTGGACTCTACTTTGTGAGTCTCTATTCTCTATTCCTTTAGCCTTAGTTCAGAACATCATTCATTCTTATAAAGATGATTTTAATAACAATCACCATATTTTGACTTTTAAGTCAACTTTCATATTTTCTTAAGTGATTTTTCACAAATCTGGTCATATTTTATTCTACATAAAAATTAGTCAAAAAAGTCACTTTCACAGAAGTCCCACGTTCATAGTGTGGCATCCAACGCCCTTTATAATTTGGACCCTTCCTATCTTAGAAGATTTATTTTCCCAACTCTTAACTGTTCAATTCACATTCTAAAATACGGAACTGCCTAGCTGTTTCTCCAAAACAAACCATATCATTTTATAGCTCCCAGATTTATGCTATTCACACCACTTGGAATAATTTTCTGACCCTAATGTTTGTCACTATTTATGTAGAACACTCTGTTCAACTTTTTAAAAATTTTCCCTTAACAAGCCTTTCCCCAATATTTAATTATTTTCTTCTCTATTCTAACTTGTATCTTGTACGTTTTCCCACTTTTTATGCTAAGCATTTATTATATTATATTACCTCATTTGTGTCTCTAATTTTTAAATTCCACAAGAACAGGGAGTATCATGTTTATCTGTTTAGTGCCTAGCAGAATGCCACACTCATATTTTAAGATAAATAAATGTTTAGTAAACTAAGTGGGCAAGAAAACAAAAACTTAGTAGTATAGCTTTTTCATGTTAATAGCTAGGCCTCTGGAAGACAAAGATGATATAGAAGGAGATGAACAATTAGTTATCCAGATATTATTCATAAACTGGATTTGGAATTCTAGACCATAGCCTGAGACATTAAAGTGAAGAACTCTTGGCTAAAAATGGAAGCTGGATGAGGTAGCTTACACCTGCAATTCCAGCATTTTGGGAAGCCAAGGCCGTGGATCACTTGAGGCCAGGAGTTCGAGACCAGCCTTGCCAAGATGACGAAACCCCTGTCTCTACTAAAAATACAAAAATTAGCCAGGCATGGTGGTGTACACCTGTCATTCCCGCTACTTGGGTAGCTGAGACATGAGAATCACTTGAACCTGGGAGACAGAGGTTGCAGTTAGCCGAGACTGAGCCACAGTACCCAGCTTGGGTGACAGAGTGAGATGACTCTGTCTCAAAAAATTTTTTTTAATTTAAAATAAAAATAGAGTATATGTCTCTTCTTAAAGATGAAGAATGTATTTATCAAGAGCTAAACAATCTCTTCAGATGGTGTTTAAACTAAATATGAAGGGAAAGAATAAACAGTTCTGAGGTAAACACATGAAATCAGTAAGAAATGATAATGGCAGATAGTAGGAAAGGACAAAAGTATAAAAGCTGCAAGTAAGCCACACATGAAAATAACTTGGAATAGGTACAGAAACATAGCTATAGCTTCAGATTTCCGTAAATTAACTAAAACATAAGCAGTAAATAAAACAAACTTGAGATTTCAATACAATATGGTTAAGGGGAGGGAGACCTGGAGACCAGAACTCAAGATTGAGAAGTGACAAGGGAAGAGATGAGAGTAATTATCAAAGGAAACTAATAGAATCTAGAGCAGCCTTATCTAACAGAACTTTATGCAATGATGAAAATGGTGTATATTTGCCCATGTGGCTATTGGGCACTTGATATTTGCAAAAGAGGAATTAAATTTTTAATGTGAACTTTAAATTTAATGTAAACTGAAAGCAATATACAGTTAGTAGCTACCACAGTAAGCAGCACAGACCTAGAGTCTCTACCATATTTATGTATAATCTCTGGCATATAATTAAAAAAAAAATAGACATAATAACAGGAAAATGAAACACATAGCCAAGAGGAAAAAAAACTCTAATAGACATGAAGTTGGTGATGACCCAGACATTGGATTTAGTAGCCAATGACTCTATTTTAATTATTATAAATATGTTAAAGAATTTATAAGAGAAGATATACATAACTGATGAAGAAATGCAGAATTTCAGGTAGGATATGGAAACTTCAAAACAAAACAAAAAGAAACTCTAGAACTGGTAAATACAATATCTGAAAACATTAAGGAACCATTATAATGAATTTACTGAGGTAAATGTCACCTAGCAGAACGTTTTGGCAGACAGAAGAAATGTCTTATTTTAAGTGACATATCTCTATATAGGATATCTTTACTTTTTATCTATATGGAAACAAGTGGCTGCCTTTAGAGGTGATTAATTCCTCAGAATTAATAATCTTCAGGTATAGGTAAGAACACAATTTGGCAGAATGTAGTGAAATTAGAGGTAGACAGAATGTTCTCTAAGGTTCCTTACAATCTTGAGACAAAGACTTTATCAAATGGCCATGAAATGTGAACCAAAACATAATTTAATTTTACTTAAATAACAGAAAGACATATTTCACACTATAGTTGATTCTGAATACAAAATGAATTTTTACCACGTTAAATATATATACCTTTATAATTTTGAAATACAAATATTTTACTAAATAACCACATACTAAACATCAAACAAAATTTAAATTACCCTCTTGTCCATTTCATAAGATGAAGCTTCAGTACTTGGTAGAAGATGCGTAATAGTAGCTATTAGAATCTGTAAGCAAAAAGAAAATTTTTAAAAAGGAACTCTATGTATTTCAAATTAATGGTACATCCTAAAACTTAATTGTTAAAGCTAAAGTGATTCAAAACCTATTGCTACAAATTTATCCTAAACACATTAACACTGTTTTTTCAAAGTAATGTTTAATAGGCAAGCTTTTCAAGTACACTTAACTATCAATTATTTACAATCCTCATGTACAGAACCAAAATTATAAATATATTCTGTCAACTATAAACCGATTTCATCCCAATTAAAGGGAGTAAATCAATATGTATAAACACACAGAAAATATATGTTCATTATAGAAAAGTTAAAAGATACAGATAAGAAAAAGACTAATAAAAACCATCATAGGCTGGGCACGGTGGCTCACACCTGCTTTGAGAGCCTGGGTGACAGAGACTCTGTCTCAAAACAACAAAAAAACCACCGTAATCCTATGACCTGAAGAAATCTACTCTATTGCCTTTCCAGGCCTTTTGTTTAAATATATATATATATGCAAATGTAAGCCTTTTTTTTTAAGTGACTTTTTATTTATTTCCATTTATTTATTTTTTTGAGATGGAGTCTCATTCTGCCACCCAGGTTGGAGTGCAATGGAGTGATCTTGGCTCTGGGTTCAAGTGATTCTCCTGCCTCAGCCTCCCGAGTAGCTGGGATTATAGGTGTGAACCACCACGCTCAGCTAATTTTGGTATTTTTAGTAGAAATGGGGTTTTCCCATGTTGGCCAGGCAAAGTTCAGGCCAGGCTGGTCTTGAACTCCTGACCTCAATTGATCTGCTCACCTCGGCCTCCGAAAGTGCTGGGATTACAGGCGTGAGCCACTGTGCCCGGTCAAATGTGGCTTTTAAAATTAACATATACACTAAATATTATTTGAATAAATATAAAGTATGGAATACAAAGTAAATGAAAAAGACATTATTAAAAGAAGGTAAAATATTCATATATGGTGTTATCATTTACCCTAGAAATCATTTAGTCTCATTTAATATTTTTATGTCCATGTTAAAAATGTATAGGTATATATTTATTCCATTTTTATTTTAGCTGTATTGTATGCTATTATATTTTTAGAAATTATTGCCTCAATGCAGTAAGTAGAAAAATTCCTCTAAATATACTTTATACAGAAAAAGGCTTCACTTACTAGAGCAATGCTTACTCACTATATTCAGTGCTGCAATAGAGGCTGGCAAGATGACTGAGTGGGAAAAGCATGGACTTTAGAATCTTATGGACCTGGGTCTGAGTCCTTAGTCTCTCAGCTTGTGACTGTTATTTAGTTATTAAATCCTCAGTTCTCTCATCTTAAATAAGGAGAGGGACTGGGAACAGGGAAGGGAATAACCTATCTCAAGAAACTTCCAAGAATTAAATGAGTTTTATATGAAAATGTTACTGATACATGGTAGTTTAATAAATAAATATTAGTTTTCATCTTTCCTAAAAATGTTACAAAGACAGGAAGAATGATAAATTCCAATTAGGGAGAGCGATTTTTTTTTTTTTTTTTTTTTGAGACAAAGTTGGAGTGCAATGGTGCAATCTCAGCTTACTGCAACCTCTGCCTCCCGGGTTCAAGTGATTCTCCTGCCTCAGCCTCCTGAGTAGCTGGGATTACAGGCACGGGCCATCATGCCCGGCTTATTTTTGTATTTCTAGTAGAGACAGGATTTCACCATGTTGGTCAGGCTGGTCTCGAACTCCTGACCTTGTGATCCACCTGCCTTTGCCTCCCAAAGTGCTGGGATTACAGATGTGAGTCACTGCACTGGGCAGGAATTTTTATTTTTTGAGGAGATGGTATTTAAGCCTATCACTGAAAGATGAGGGCACTAGATAAGAGAAACAAAGCAGACAGGAGGAAGAAAGCAAGGGGTATGTTTAAATGATGATAAGCAGACTCAGTTGCCTGAACTACACGGCATTTCAAAGGAATCTGTACATAATTCTTAAAAAAACTAGTTGGGTTCTCCTCTGGAGACTTTGAATACAGAGCTAAAGAATTTGGGCTTTATTTTATAGTCAAAGGAAAATCAGAGATTTTTTTGAGAGGTCAGTGATATGATAAGAGTCATGTAAATGTAAATGATGACTTGAAGAGCAAGACCACACAAACCAGGAGAATGCTACAGCAGTATCTCAAGAAAGAAATAATGAAGGACTGAAATACTTCAGGTGTTGTAGGAAGCACAGGAGACACTGAATTAAAAAGAACAAAAATTCACAAATGATTGGTTAAAGAGAAAAGAAAAAAATAATGTTTTGATTCTGGTAAATGGAATGACAGTTATGTTTTCCACACTCAAGAGGGAATGAAGCAGCATACATGTTTATAAAGATGATGGCATAAGTTTATACATAGCATTTAATTTTCACTACAACTGATAAATTGTTTTTTGCTTGACTGTTTGTTGAGACAGGGTCCTGCTATGTTATCTAGGCTGGTGTCAAACTCCTGACCTCAAGCAATGCTTCCAACTTAGTCTCCCGAAGTGTCTGGATTATAGGCATAAGTCTACGGGTTTGGCCTAATAAATTGTTTCTAATGCTTTTACTTTGTCCAAAACCAGGAATACAATCTTCTAATACAAAAGACAAGAAAACTATCATGAACTTTGATACCACAAAAAACATGGATAGTCATTATTTAGCTATGCAAAAGAAAATTAAAACTATTAAATAATTTTACAATTCAAAGTATCCAAATCTAAAAAAAATTTTAATAAGATCATAATAAGTAAATGCGAAATTACTTACTTGTATAATTTTCAAGGGAGAATCAGGCTGGTAAATCTGAAGTCTAGGGACATAATGAACCAGCATGTGAAGCATGTTACAAGCTACGTGGGCTACCGTTTTATTAGTAAACTGCAATAATAAAAAAGTTGTTATAAAGATTTTCTTGGTGAACTTCTCATCAACGTATTATCTGCTGAAAAATTTTACATGTCATACATTCTGTGTCATCCTACATTTATGAGTGATTAAGGTAAATCTCCATCTGCAAAATAAAAAAAATCACAACACATTCCAAAGACACACACAACTTTAATTTTCCTTTGTAATGTTTGTCCTCATTTAGGTTTTGTTGCATTTTCTCATGTGGATTTATGCAATGGCCTCTAAACCACTATTCTTGTTAGCAATGATCAATCTTTGCCCCATTCCAATCTACGATTCACCACACTTCCAAATTAATCTTCTATATAACTGTTCTGATCCTGACATTATGTTTAAAATTCAGATGACTCCCCAGTGGCATAAAGACAAACTTTTTTTTTTTTTTTTTTGAGACGGAGTTTCGCTCTTGTTACCCAGGCTGGAGTGCAATAGTGCTATCTCGGCTCACTGTAATCTCTGCCTCCCAGGTTCAAATGATTCTCCTTCCTCAGCTTCCCAAGTAGCTGGGACTACAGGCGTGTACCACTACACCAGGTTAATTCTGTATTTTCAGTAGAGACTAGGTTTCGCCATGTTGGCCAGACTATCAAACCGCTGGTCTCAGGTAATCCACTTGCCTCAGTCTCCCAAAATGCTGGGATTACAGGCATGAGCCACTGTGCCCAGCCCATGGTTTTCTATTCTAATAATATGGTACATTTTCTTGGATTTTCTGTGTATATAATAATTTGGTCTGAAAAATCAGACGCTTTTTTTTTCTTTCTAATTGTTATGCATTTAGTTTTCTTTATTGGCTTATTTTATTTGATATAATCTCCAGTACAGTGTTGAATAGAAATGATGATAGGAGTATCCATTTCTATTTCTGAATTTAATGGGAAATTGAAATCTCACTATAATACGTCTGCTTTCAATAGATGCCAGTTATCAAATTAAGGACTTTTCTGTTCTAATTTTCTAAGTGTTTTCATATGTTAAAATCATGGATAGGTTTCAAAGTTGATTAAATGCTTTTTAAAAAATACCTGATTAGATGTACTAACATTTTATTTAGTTTTTTTTGGCCTCTATGTTCACTTGATGTTCATTCTTTGGTCACAGGTGCAAATACAAATATTGGTGGAAATACAGCATAGTGGTTAATAACCCACACTCAGAAGTGAGACTATTCTAGGTTTGAATTCTTGTTCTATCGCTCTGACTACTAACTTGAGTAAATTACTTATGTTATTTATGCCTCAGTTTCCTTATCTCCAAATGGAGTTAATAATAACACCAACCATATAGGGTTTTTTGGATAAATTAAATGAAATAATCCAAGTAAGGCGAGGCATGGTAGCTCACACTTGTAATCCCAGCACTTTGGGAGGCCAAGGCAGGTGGATCACTTGAGGTCAAAAGTTCAAAACCATCCAGAGCAACATGGTGAAACCCTGTCTCTACTAAAAATTAGCCAGGCATGATGGTGTATGCCTGTAATCCTAACTACTAGGGAGGCTGAGGCAGGAGAATCACTTGAAGCCAGGAGGCAGAGGTTGCAGTGAGCCGAAATGGCAAAAAAANAAAAACTGAACAGCTCAAGAGTTCAGGGAGTGGTATTAAAGATCAAAGAATAGTAAGTTACAAAAATACTAGTTAAAAAAAAAACTAGAAAAACCCTATATGTTTTAAATGGTGGGTTTCCTTTTTTAGAAATCTACCATGCATAGCTTGGGGGAAAGCCAAATACATAAAAAGTTGAGATAAAATGGGTCACCATAAAGATACCCTAAATTCAAGAAATAGAACAATTTTTAAGGAAAGAGTCAGGATCAAGAAAATAAAAGAATAAAGTAATGAAAACATTTACTAAATGTTATACAAGATATAATTAATATTTGGAGAAAAAATAACCATGCATTCTCTACTACCTTAACATATTTCACTAAACAGTTTTCTTTACCTTTAAGGAAACACAAATCACATTCAGAGCTTCCTTAATTTGAGGATGATGAGACTCATGGACTAGCTCTTCACAAATCCAGATACCTAAACTACAAAGTGCTACACACCTGCAAAAAAGGCAAGCAACGGTTACATAAAATGAAACCACCATCACAAACACGACCCTCAATCAACTGACACAGAATAAACATGCACTATTTTAAGTGAATTAATGAATTTGTTACTCTAAACATTAACTGGTAACCAAAGAAGAGAAAGTATAAAGAGAGCACAATTCCAAAAACTCCTGAGCCTAATTTTCTATTACAATTTACTACCAAGGCTACAGGCTGGGATACCACACATGTTCTTTAAAAATCCATGTTAACAGAATGACATTGCTATAAAACTTCACAAGCAAAATGTAATCTGCTTTCAAAATGGGGAAAGTGTAATTTTATTGACTGACAACAGCACAATGAACTTAAGTAAATATATGAAGCTGATGGAATACATTAAATATTTTTGTATCTTTTACATTTAATACAGCAAGCTTTAAATTAGTTTTTAAAAATTGGGAACACAAAATTTTTGTAATTTATTTTAAAATCCAACAGAAACAGAACTTACAGGATTTTTATCCTGTTCCCCAATGGATTGCAAGGCTTCATTTCTGTAGCAATATAATTTCAGCTGGGTTTCAGCTTCAAGACAGTTATTTAATTATTAGAATCGGTAAGGATTCTATTAGTGTGTTCAAGTTTAGCTTCTGATAAAGTGTATAATAGTACTAGTATAAAAACAGTCACCTCCTTCTAGTATCCTGTTATATGTGCCATGTCCCGATACCAATATTCTTGAATTCAGTGGAATGCTAAACTTCAGAAAAATTCAATGCAGATTTTTCCTCCTTAACATAGCAGATCAGAAGTTCTTAAGTCTCTTCTTTCAGGCTAGAGTGTTAAGGCTACCAAACTGTTTACTATCAAAATTACCTGAAAGTCTTCTAGATGAAGTCTACTACTTTATTTTTTCCCTACTGTTAACAAGAGAAGGTAAGAAAGAGGAGGAGGTATTTCTTGCATGTAGAGTTTCTTATACCCCCATCCACAAGATGTCAAAATAATCTATATTATTCCCAGCATATAGCTCAACTCTCTGCTCCTGCTCAGACTGGGAGTATAAGTTTTGTTTTCTTTCTTTTTTTTTAGACAGAGTCTCTCACTCTATCTTGCCCAGACTGGTGTGTAGTGGCCTGATCTTGGCTCACTGCAACCTCCACCTCCTGGGTTCAAGCAATTCTCCTGCCTCACCCTCCTGGGTAGCTAGGACTGTCAGCATACGCTATTACACCTGGCTAATTTTTTTTTATTTTTAGAAGAGATGGAGTTTCACCATGTTGGCCAGGGTGGTCTCGAATTCCTGACCTCAGGTGATCCACCCACCTTAGCCTCCCAAACTGCTCAGATTACAGGTGATCTACCCGCCTTGGCCTCCCAAAGTGCTGAGATTACAGGTGTGAGCCACCACGCCTGGCCTGGGGATATAAGTTTCTAAAAAAAGATAAACTAAAAAGGTATAGAAAAACAAGTTGAGACAACGCTTATGTTCAACTTCTGGGGTTTTTCCCTACTCTCAATAACACAAGTTGTTGTGTTAATGATCCCCAGGTCTACCTCTAGGCAGCTATGTTTCAGGCTTCCATATTCTTCCACTTGAGAGGCAACATGTTTTTTTTTTTTTTTTTTTTTTTTAAAAAAAAAGCAAAAGATCTACAGTCTTTAAGCACTAGGGCCAAACTTGTTATTACCACTTATTAGTTGTGCATCTAATAAGACTCTGAAGACGAACTGCCAGGGTTCTGTCATATCTAGATGATAGAGCAGGTTATTGAAATTTCCTGGGTTCTAGTTTTCTTTTCTATTAAAAGGTAGATGAAAATTATACCTGTCTCATAGAGGTTATCACAAAGTTCAATGAGATAATAAATATAAGGTACTTAAAACAGTGCCTGGGTTCTGTTCTAAAAGGACTTTTTAAAAATGCTACCTAGCTCGCTTCTACCTCCTGCCCCCCACAGCTATGTATTCTTAGAGACTTATTGTTAACTTTCTAAGAATCCGTATCTGGCTAGCAAAACTGGAAGAAGAGAGTGATTCTTTAAACTCTCAAAATTGTGATGGGAATTAAATGAAACAATATTATATGAAAATCCTTGTAAACTTATATGAAAACCCTTGTAAACTTAACTGGAATTAGCATAAAGAACAATTTTCTCAAAAATATTTGTTTTCAGTTAGCTTGGCTAGTAAGTGAGAAAAATATGCAATTAAATTTTTTAAAACTGGAGCTATGTCTTAATTTAAATAAATAGTTCACTGTATATTATTTTTATTCACTGGAAAAAGATTTAAATTAGAGTCAAAATCTAAATAGTCAAAGCCATGATCTGTACCTTTTGAACTTTGGGTCAAAAAATGTGTAGATGATTGGAAAACAGGAGCTTTGCAGAGATGTAAATCTGAGTAGCAGCACAGAGTAACGTGGCAAATGAAATACTATTTGAATTAGCATCAGGAAATATAAAACAGACTTAATGTTATTTTGGGGAAGAGAAGGAACATGGTGTGCTGCTAGCAACCTGCCAATTTAAATCTCAAAATTTTTTGGAAAGATTTTGTAAAAGAGAGAAAATGTCAGCTTTTATTTCTTAAGACATTTTGAAAAAAATCTAAAACTATTACTTATATTCTATTTTTTAAAATCTTGATCAAATATTTATAAACATTAAAATTATTTTCTTAGATATATTACTTTCCATAATAAAATATTTTCTTTTAATTCAATTTAAAAATTTATTTGGTACCTACTACTGCATTTCAAGGTACTGCATAAAGACAATGACAAATATAATTGAACAATAAAATGTACTTAAATAAAATTAAAACATTATCTTAGAGATAAACAGTGAAGTTATTGAAAACGGTGACTAGCATTTTGTTTATCAAGAAAGGTTAGTACTTAAATCATGAAAAAAAGTAAGAGTACTTAACCATTCAAATAAACTTGTAATTCAGAATGGCTTTAATGTATCTAAAACAAAAATTCAGTCAACTTCTAAAATTCCAAACACAGAATACTTATGTTCAATGTAAGAATATCTGACCTACCGTGCAGGACCAGAGGGCTCATCTCTTGCTGAGCTTAATACAGTTTTGATTATAAGTTCCTAAAATAAGGGGGAAATAGTTAACAGCAATGACTGCGATTTCACTCATTCATTCTACAAATATTTATTAAGTGGTTATTAGAACAGTCATTGTTCTCATGTACACACATTCAATAAAGAATCTGATATTATTTATAAAAGTAGCTAAAGTTTCTGTAATTTATAGGCAAAAGTATATGTTCAAAAAATAATCTTTCCTCCTTATTAGAAGAGTGATAGAGGCAGATAATTAAAGTAGAATTAATTGCTCAAGGTGTAAAGATTTTTTAAATTTTGAGAAATATCATTAAAAGTCAGAACTGGATGGCTTCACCAGTGAATTCTACAAACATTTAAAGAAGAATTTGAGCAGTATCCTTCTCAAACATTTCCAAAATATTGAAAATGAGAGGATACTTCAAAACTCATTTTAAGAGGCCAGCATTATCCTGACATCAAAAGTCAGACAAAGGCATTACCGAAGGAAAAAAAAAAAAATTACAAGCCAACATCCCTGGTGAATATAGATACAAAAATCCTCAATAGCCGGGCGTGGTGGCTCAGGCCTGTAATCCCAACACTTTGGGAGGCCGAGGCAGGCGGATCACGAGGTCAAGAGATCGAGACCATCCTGGCCACGATGAAACCCCGTCTCTACTAAAAATACAAAAATTAGCCGGGTGTGGTGGCATGTGCCTGTAGTCCCATCTACTCGGGAGGCCGAGGCGGAAGAATTGCTTGAATCCAGGAGGCGGAGGTTGCGGTGAGCCAAGATTCCGCCACTGCACTCCAGCCTGGGTGACAGAGCAAGACTCCATCTCAAAAAAAAAAAAAAAAAATCCTCAATAAAATACTAGCAAACCAAAATTCATCAGAACATTAAAAGGGTCATATACCATGATGAAGTAGGATTTATCACTGTGCTGCAAGGATGGTTCAACATATACAAGGCAATAAAAGCAATACATCATATTAACAGAACAAAGGATAAAAACATTATCTCAATAGGTGAAGAAAAAGCATTTAAGTAGAATACATAGCTCAAAGGTATATATGAATATCCTTTCATGACAAAATACAAATTTTTTTTGCATGAAAAATACGACATCTTTCATGAAAAACACTCAACAAATGAGGTATAAGAGGAATATACCTCAACACAAGCCCACAGCTAACATCATAATCAACAGCAAAAAGCTGAAAGATTTTACTTTAAGATTAGGAACAAGATAAAGATGCCCATTCTTGCCACTTCTATTGAACATAGTATTGGAAGTGCTAGCCAGAGCAATTAGGCAGAAAAAAGAAAAGGCACCATCTTGGAAAGGAAGAATGAAAACTGTCTCTGTCTGCAGATGACATAATCTAATAAATAAAAAACCCTACAGACTCTACCAAAAAACTGTTAGAACCAATAAAGTCAGTAGAGTAGCAGGAAACAAAAACATAAAAATCAGTTGTGTTTCTATACACTGTGAACTATATGAAAAATTAAGAAAATAATCCCACTTAACAATAGCATTGAAAACAACAAAATACTTAGGAATACATTTAACAAAAGAGGTAAAGATCTGTATGCGAAAAACCATAAAACACTGATGAAAGAAAGAGAAAAGACAGAAATAAATAGAAACATATCCTGCGTCCATAGATTACAAAATTATTAAAATGTCCATAAAATCCAAAGCAATCCACTTCTGGGTATATATATATATCCAAAGGAAATGAAATTAGTATGTCAAAGAGATAAGTGCACTACCATGTTCACTGCAGAATTACTTATAATAGCCAAGATACGGAAAAAACCTAAGTGTCCCCTGAAGGACTAATGCATAAAGAAAATGTGACACACCCACAAACATACACAAACGCACATACAATAGAATACCACTCAGCCTTTAAAAAGAAGGATATCTTGTCATTTATGACAATATGAATCAACCTGGAGGACATGACATTATGTGTGAAATATGTGAGGCACGGAAAGACAAATACTGCATGTTCTCACCTACATGTGGCATATAAAAAGTTGAAGTATTGGAAGGAGTGAGTAGAATGGTAGTTAGCAGGGGTTAGGGAGTGGGTGAAACAGGAAAATGTTGGTTAAAGGGTATGAAGTCTCAAATGTGCAGAATGGCTAAATTCTGGAGCCTAATGTATAGCATGGTGACTACAGTTAACAATACAGTACCAGTAACGTACACTTGAAATCTACTAAGGCAGTAGATCTTGGCTTCTCTTATGCCCCCTCACCAAAAAAAAGGTAATCATGTGAGGTGATGGGTATGTTATCTAGCTTGACATTTACCACACTGTATATGTGTATGAAGACATCATATTGTACACCTTAGATATGCACAATTTTTGTCAATTTTATCTCAATAAAGCTAAGGGAGAAATATTCATCCTTAATAATTTGTAAAGTATGATAATGAATTTTGAGACAAGTTAAAATATTAGTTAAAATTATGTAAATGAATAAAATATTCAAAAGGGAGAAAACAGAAGAAATACAAGGGTAAAATATTGAAGTGTGTGTATGTTTAGCAAGCAGAGAAAAGAAAGTCTATTAAGGAGTCAGGATACTTAGGCAAGAAGTAAATCAAGATAGATCTGTGCAACAAAAGATAAAGAGACATTCAGAAATGATAGAAACATCAACGAGGTCAAATATTATAGTGTTTCAGGAGAACAAGAATGCCATTAGATTTGATGATTAAGAATTTTGTTCATTGGTTTAAAAAAATCATTCATACATTCATCCAATAATCATTTATCAGTCATATACAATGTAAGTTCCTTGAGAGGATCAACCTTTGACTTTGTAAACTCAGCATTTAGTCCAACTGATAGTTTTGCAAGCTTTCTATGTAATATAGTCTGTCTTAAGGGCTGGAGACAAGAAGTTAGCTAAGATGCTGTACCTATCTAAGAAGTTTATAGTCTACAGAGAGAGACAGATTTGTAAACAAACAACTAAAATACAGAATCGAGTAATATAAAATATGCAGGCAAATCCATAAAGACAGAACATAAATCTGAGTTGTCAAGAGTTTGGGGTAGGGAGATATTTACGAGGGTTTCTTCAGTGATGATGAAAATGTTCTAATATTGACTGTGATGATGGCTGCACAATTCTGCAACTATACTAAACACTATTAAATGAAGTGAACTGTAAAACCAAAAAACCAAACAAGCTCGTAAGTACAAAGTTCTGTGTGAGCAAATAACTCATCTCAGAAGTCATAAAAGACTTCACAAAGGATTCTTAGATAAATAGGATTTTGAAAGACAACTAAAGTTGGAAATTGTGATTCTAAGTGTTTGGGGCGATAAAGAGAGGCAAAAAGAGGAGAGCAATTATATATGACACTTCAGCAGGAGGAAATAAGCTTTTCCAAAGCATAAAACCAAGAAGCACCATGGTAAGCTCCATGTGGCTGTAGTTTAGAGTATATGGAATCTGGTTTTGGTGAAAATGTAAAAATCAAATATGATAACCATGGCATGTAACTTTCCCTTTAAATCTTCATTTCCTAAGAAAAATTATTACTTTTTTTCTTTCTTCAATATTATTAGAACTGGCTCTTACTTTGGAGATTTTTTTTTTTAATCATGTCAGTCATTACTGCCTACACAAGGGCTGCTCTGAAACGCAGATGCAGATAGTATATAGTAAGTGAGGCTAACCCCTAACTCACTCAAAACTACATTAATAAATTAAAACTACAACTCATCTTTGGCCTTCAAAATCTCCTGAATAAAAGAAACCATAGCTTCTGATGTATCTTCAGAACAGTAAAAAAAAAAAAAAAAAAAAAGAAAGAAAGAAAGAAACCATAGCTATCACATCTTTGAAGAGCAAAGGTCAATTTATATAGTTTTTATTGTGTCACTGCAAATTTGCATTGATCCTTATGATTTTATATATAAGTCAAGTTCACTTGTTTAACAAATAATTTCCTTTTTATAGGGGGATGGGCAGGGGACAAGGTCTTGCTCTGTCATGCAGGCTGGAGTGCAGTTGCACAATCATGGCTCAACTGATCTTCCCACCTCAGCCTCCCAAATAGCTGGGACTACGGGCATGTGCAACCATGCCCAGCTAATTTTTTTATTTTTTGTGGAGACAACGCCTCCCTATGTTACCCGGACTGGTCCTGAAGTCCTGAACTCAAGCAATCCTCACACCTTGGCTAGGACTAAAGGCATGAGCCACCATGTCCGGTCTAACAAATGATTTCTGAGTATATACTAGGTGTCAAGCAGTATGTTAGGATATGATGATACAGCAAAAAGTAAGACCTTGTGATATATATCTGTCTAAAGTAGAAGTCAGACAATGAACAAGTAATCACAAATATGATAAACATTACAAAGAGAAATGTGGATGCTACGGAAAGTGTATGCAACATTCCTAACATAAACTGGATTTTTTTTTTAATTTCAGAAAAAGCTAGTTAAAAAATAAACAAACAAACAAAAAACTATCGGCTTAGCCCCTGAGGAGCTACATCTCCTTTCTCTCAACACTTCTAATTCTAGGGACCAATTCAGGTCAAATACAAAGACCATCTGGCAATTACTGTGACAAGCACAACTTCTCAGGACTGTTAAACCCTTGGGAATTTATAATGTACAGCCATTCAGTTAAATAAGGAAGGTCTCAGTAAAAGACAGGTCTTAACTTACTGAAGGAATTATTTACCAACAGGCACCTTGCTGGGCTCAAGCACTAACTGCTTTTCCACCAGAAAAATTTTTAAAGGCTTATTAACAAGGGTCATGTGGCATGTCTGCTCCTAACTGGATATAATTTTCTTTCTTTTTTTTTAAAGGATTATTATCTGTGGTAGGTTCCACTGGCAACTGTATAGTCACATTAATTTTGCACCATCTACTGTTCAAGCCCCATAATGCTTCAGGTGCATAGGATCTCCACCCCAATGCCATAGAATTTTCCATTACTATGCTTGACTCATCACACTGAAAAACTGGGAGAGGGAGAGAGTCTAATGTGCAGGTTTAATTTACCATCTCAATCTTAGAAGCTTTACATTAGCAGCACAGTATCTGGCTCATGGGATATTTCAATAAGTGTTCAGTGAGTGAATGAATCCTAAGAGGTAGACATGTGAGTATGTTCAATAACAAGAAAAAGGTTCTAAAGCAGTTTTATTATTTATTTATTTATTTATTTATTTAGATGGAGTCTTGCTCTGTCACCAGGCTGGAGTGCAGTGGCACAATCTCGGCTCACTGCAACCTCTGCCTCCTGGGTTCAGGCAATTCTTCCGCCTCAGCCTCCCGAGTAGCTGGGACCACAGGCGCGTACCACCATGCCCGGCTAATTTTTTTTTGTATTTTTAGTAGAGACGGGGTTTCATCCTGTTGGCCAGGATGGTCTCGATCTCTTGACCTTGTGATCCGCCTGCCTTGGCCTCCCAAAGTGCTGGGATTACAGGCGTGAGCCACTGCGCCCGGCCCTAAAGCAGTTTTAAACACAAAAAAGGATATGCTCCTAATGAACATTCCAGCCTTTGTGTCTTGAGGATATGGCTAGTGTTCTTTAACAATTGTGTGGATTTCAAAAAGAAAGAAAGAATATAAATTTTATTGCATATACTTTATGATCATAAAATAATTTAAGTGCTAAAAATTAGCATCTGATTTCTTACCTTAACATCTGTAAACTGGGACACAGCAACATCAGGAATGTTGGGATGAAGAGAAGGCAGTTCACAATATAAGTTGGGAAAGCAAACCAAAGATCCCAGAAGAACTTGTGCTTCTACTCTTGGTGCCTATGTATCACATTTTAAAAATATACTAGTGTTATGAAATTGTCAGAAAAGTTGCTTTATTATCCAACTACATTAGACAGGGAAGCGTTATATAAAACAAAATTTAAAAAGGAAAGGGAAAACACAAAAAGATTTAAGTTTCCATTCATAATTTCCACATAAACTACTGTTAGTGTCAATAAATGCAATGAACAAGTAACAGAGCTTTCCTCAAATCAGCCATAGTTAATAATACTGTAAAACGAAATACACCTTAGCTACAAGCATCAAATTACCCTAATAATAAGTAAAAACATAAATAATTTTACAGGTAACTCACACATTGTGATATATTATTCTAATAAGCTGATGACTTAATTTACTAGATTATATTTATTACCAAGGATGAATAAATAAAGAAGAAAATACATTAACTATATGAAAGAGGAGCCAATTTAGATGGTTTTTATGATATTATGCACATAAGAAAAGCATTGCCTATACCACTTACTGGAAGCAACATTAGAATTTGTCTGGACTGCAGATGAAGGTAACTTTTTACCCTTTTTCCCTAGCTGTATTAAGCCATTTCTGAAGTGTCAACACTGAACATTTCTTTTTTCTCTTCTGCCTTCTTACATGACCACCAAACATCAACATCCACCTACTAATATATTGTCTTATTTCTAAAACATCTGCAAATTGATTTATATGTTTAATAATATCTAACAAACATGCTAAACACAAATCTATTAGAAATATTTCTATCCACATAAATTAAGAACCAGTCTCCAAGGGGACTTTCATATCTGAATAAATATTGTAATAGAGGGAATGGTGTAGTGGCGTAGTACTCTCTTACATGATTTTCAACAAAACTCATTTCTAGATTAAAAAACAATCCATATTTAAAGATACAGAGCAGCAGTATAAAAGGACAGTAATTACAATCAAGAGAAGGGCACAGAAAAAAAAAAAGGGGCCGTGAACTCACATCCACCATTCCAATTTAAAATAAAAGTTATCTTATAAAAATCAAAGTGATCCAAAAAATCAATATTTAACAAATGAGATCAGCTGAGAGTTTTTCTGTACAGGTAGATCAGGTAACTGCGAATATTCAGGTATGTGGATATTATGGGGGCAGACCTGGAATGTGATCATAATTAAGAAAGGTAAAAGGAAATTAATTATTTTGTAATGGGGGGGCAGACGGCATTAACACAAAGAAGATGATATGAATAGAATCTAAGATAAGAATACAAAGAGCAAGATTTGGACTATGTGTTTCCCTTTTTTTTTTTTTTGAGAAGGAGTTTCACTCTATTGTCACCCAGGCTGGAGAGCATGGCACCATCTCAGCTCACTGCAACCTCCGCCTCCAAAGTTCAAACGATTCTCCCACCTCAGACTCCCCAGTAGCTGGGATTATAGACATGTGCCACCACGCCTAATTTTTGTACTCTTAGTAGAGATGGGGTTTCACCATTGTTGGCCAGGCTGGTCTTGAAGTCCAGATCTCAAGTGATCCACCTGCGTTGGCCTCCCAAAGTGCTGGGATTACAGGCATGAGCCACTGTGCCCAGACTGGACTAGGTACTTCTAACACCATCAGAGAAAAAGACTTGTTTTAACCTCACTGTGGAGATATGTTAGGCTTGATTCTTGCAATGATTTAGTTTTCTATGCAGCCTTTCTCAAGTGTCCCTCATATGAACCAGAGAATGCAAAAAATGACTATATTCTACATTTTCTCAAGGATGTTATATAAGGCACAGTATTGGATGCATAAGAGAGAAGTTAATTCACCATTTAAAATTGATTAGTCAGATAAAATAGATGCCTTGGAACACTAGGGCTTAATTCTCCTGCAGAAAATGTGCTGACTAATCATCTGGAATAACCCATTGAACAGTAATAGTTTTCACAGTAAATTAATAAAAATGACATTGGTTTATATATTAGCATCTTCTGAATTCTACCAACTTTTGCTAGTATCAAAGAGATTTATCATCTGTATACTTTGATTATACTATAATAACCCTGTAACTTGTTTACCATCTCTAATTTGTCTCCCATTAATTTACTCCTAGATTAATACTTCTTTAATGCTACCAAAGAATGGATTCAATCATATCTCTCACCACCTTAAAAAAACTTAACTGTTTATCTAATATAGCATTATAACCTGATTCCTGGCATTCACGACCTTTTCAAAATGTAGTCTAAAGCAGTGCTTCTCAATCTTTAACCAGTGATTTTGCCAATTATTTGTGATCTAGTTAAAATGCAGATTCCGATTCAGTAAACAGGTCTGGGATGGGGTCTGAGATTCCTCATTACTAATAAGCACCCAGATCATGCCAAACGTTTCTGGTGTGCAGATCACACTTTGGGAAGCAAAGATCTAAAGTACCTTTCTAAGGGGGCCTTCATACACTGTTGGTGGCAATGTAAATTAGTATAGCTGCTATGGAGAACAGTACGGAGGTTCCTCAAAAAATCAAAAACAGAACTTCCATATGATCTAGCAATTCCACAACTGGGTATATATCCAAAAGAAAGGAAATCAAGATAACAAAAAGATATCTGCACTGCTGTGTTTACCTCACACTATTCACAATAGACAAGACATAGACTCAACTTACCTGCCCATCAACAAATGAATGGATAAAGAAAATGTGGTATTTATTTTGTTTTTTTGAGACAGAGTCTCACTCTGTCACCCAGGCTGGAATGCAGTGGTACAATCTTGGCTCACTGCAACCTCTGCCTCCCGAGTTCAAGCAATTCTCCTGCCTCAGCCTCCTGAGTAGCTAGGATTACAGGCACCTGCCGCCATGTCCAGCTAATTTTCCTATTTTTAGTAGAGACGAGGTTTCACCATGTTGGCCAGGCTGGTCTTGAACTCCTGACCTCAGGTTATCCGCCCACCTTGGCCCCCCAAAGTGCAGGGATTACAGGTATGAGCCACCGTTCCTGGTCAGAAAATGTGGTATTATACACAGTGAAATATTATCTAGCCATGAAAAAGAACAAAATTCTGTCATTTGCAGCAACATGAATAAAAGTAGATAACATTATGTTAACTGAAATAAGCCAAGCACAGAACGACAAATGCCATATGTTCTCTTTCATATGTGGGAGTTAAAGTGGATTTCATGAAGATAATAGATTGGTGGTTACCAGAGGCCTGGAAGGGAGGAAAGGAGGAAAGAAGGGGGAAAAATAATATAAATGTATTTAAAGTGTAATGTCGGACATGGTGGCTCACACCTGTAATCTCAGCACTTCGGGAGGCTGCGGTGGGCAGATCACCTAAGGTCAGGAGTTTGAGACCAGCCTGGCCTCAAACTCCTTGATGATGAAACCCCATCTCTACTAAAAATACAAAAATTAGCCCAGCATGGTGGCATGTACCTGTAGTCCCAGCTATTTGGGAGGCTGAGGCAGCAGAATCACTTGAACCCGGGAGGTGAAGGTTGCAGTGAGCCAAGATCACACCACTGCACTCCATCGTGGGTGACAGAGCAAGACTCTGTCTCCAAAAAAAAAAAATCATGTACATTAAACAATAGGCCAGGTGTTCATGCTGTAATCCCAGCACCTTAGAAGGCCAAGGTGGGGAGGATTACTTGAGCCCAGGAATTCAAGACCAGCCTGGGAAACATGGCGAGAGACCCTGTTTCTACAAAAAATTAAAAACATTACTAGGCTTGGTGCCTGGGACTACAGGTGTATGCCTATAGTCTCAGCTACTTGGAAGGATGATGTGGGAGGATTGCTGAAGCCCAAGAGGTAAAGGCTGCAGTCAGCCTTGAGTGTGCTACTGCACTCCAGCCTGTGCAACAGAGCAAGACCCTGTCTCAAAACAAAACAAAATTTAAATTAATAAAAAATTATAAAAATGATAAATTAGATATGTATATTTTACCTCAATAAATTTTTTTACAAAAATAAAGTACCTTTCTGTTCTGCCTAACACACTCTTACAGATTAACTACCTTCTAAACAAAATGGACTATTTGTCATTCCTTGAATACATCTCATTCATGCCTGTTTACCTTTGCCTAGAGTACTGTCCCCTCACTTCCATTTTTATTTAAACAAACACTACTAATCTTTCAGGGACAATATTCGTATATATTTTCCATGAAACCTTAAACAAGTAGATCTCTCCATTCTCTTAATTACCAAATAATTTTAACAAACTCTTATACTGCACATACAATGTGTCATATAATGTTCTAACCACATTACAAATCCTTAAAAAATAATCCTATGAGGCAGGTTATCTTTATTTTATAGATGAAGAAACTGAAACACAGAGACATTAAGTAACTTGCCCAAGGTCACACTGCTAGTAAATGGCAGAGCCAGGATTTGAACCTAGGCAGACCAGCTCTACACAATGCTTTTAACCACTATGCTGTGCTTCTCCTATTGGTGCCTATTTGATGCCTTACATTCTATAGTTATTAAGATACTTCTCCATATCCCCAGAAGCAGGCATTATGTTCCCTGAGTACAAAGTATATCTAATTTATTCTATATCCCTCTGTATTCCACCCCAAAAAAATACTCTGTACATAAGGTGAAGGGGAAGTTTAAGAACCACAAAAGGGCTCAGTACAATGTTGATTATGTACAAGGCACTAAATAAACACATATTCAGTCAATAACTGACCAAGCACAGAGATACCACGATAAGTGACACATGATTACTGTTCTCAGAGAACTGGAAAAACAGGGTTATATAGCTGTAAATAGCACAGCTGCTTTGTCTGTTTCCACTAGGTGACTGTACGCAGTTTCATAGCTTT